CTCCCTCCCTCTCTCTCTCTCTTCCTCTCTCCAGGTCTTTCCACCAGAGCTCAGTGATTGGTTGAAAACTCATCCTCTTGGTTTGTTTTCGTGTTCCTGCTCCTTGCTGAGTTTGTGTCTCGGAATTTGTCCAACTGAATCTGAGTCAACAAACGACTCAGCGTGCTCACACCAGACGACATGATGCGACAGCGGGACGATGAACTGGACTCACAGATGAAGGTGACATGGATGAAAGGCCTGATGGGATGGATGGTGGCATTCTGTCATCATGATGCTACAATTCTGAGGTTCATGTAAAACAGTTATATTGAAAAATCTATAACTTCCTGTTGAAGGGGCGGAGTTAATAACACGTCCTAAACAACACATTTGTGTGACGTAGTCAAAGTATATACAAGTGTTGATATTGCAGTTCCCATCAAGACAGGGACACATCAGTATTTGACCCTATCACTGCTTCAGAAACGAGGCCACTCTTGATTGAAGGATTTAACTCAAGCAGTTAAAAATTCATTAATAAATTCAGATTATGAGGATCTTATCCTAACTAAAGCAAGAGATCTAATTAGTCTGCTCTTGTCCTTGGCAGTGGCAGCAGCGTACCAGTGAGCACACGTTAGAGAGAAATATTCCAGGTAACGGTGTGCGTAATCCTCACTGGTGTAATCCTCGCTGGCGCAAGCGCACCGGCCCGTTTTCCTCACCTCCGGTGTTTCACTGCGTGAGCAAAGGTGAGCGCACCTTTGACCAGAATGTCCAAAATTTCCAGTGTTGGGAGAAGAAAAGTCGGAAATAAATCCTCTGGTGTTGTAACCCTGATATTCATGAGCTCTTGTGTAGTGAAGGAGCTCCGGGTACCATCGCAAAAAACAGAATTAAAACACAAAATAAAACAAACCAACGCACACCAATACACCAAGGCAACCATCCGCGGCGCCATCTTGATGTATTCCATTAGCTTTTCAAACATTGGCTCCCTGTAAATTTCAGAATATCAAGATCCTGCTCCTCACATTTAAAACCCTGAATAATCAAACCCTTCATATGTCAAAGAGCTGATAACACCATACTATCCAGATAGATCAGTTCACTACCAAAACACAGGTTCTCTTGTGGTTTTAGAGTCAGTAAGAGTAGAACAGGAGGTAGAACCTTCAGCTACCAGGCTCCTCTCCAGTGGAACCAGCTCCCACTCTTGGTTCTAGAGTCAGACACCATCTCTACATTTAAAGTTAAATTAAAATGTTCCTCTTTGATAAAGTCTATAGTTCTGGATCAGGTCCTGAACCATCACTTAGTTATGCTGCTATAGGTCTAGACTGCTGGGAGAACTCCCATCATGCACTGATGATGGAGGCAGATGTCTCCACACTAACTCTGGTTCTAGAGGTTTCTCTCTGTTAATGAGGGAGTTTCTCCTCCACAGTCTCAAAGTGCTGCTCATTGTTCACCTGTTGGTTTCTCTAGATGAAGAAGATTTTAAGCTCTTGACCTTCTATGTAAAGAGTCTTGAGATCATGGATATTAGGATTTGGCGCTATACAAATAAAATTGAATTGAATTGAATTGAATTTGGTTTATAGTGATATCATTAACACACAATTGAATTGAATTGACTGTGGAACATGTTTTCCTTCAGTCTGATCTGAAAAGGAAACGTCCTGTAAAGATGATGTTGATTAAACCGATACAGGACATTTTAATTAATTACCTGATTATGTTTGGTACACTTTCTTTGCAGGTGTAGTTATTTAAAAGTCATCGGATAGAAGAATGAACTTAACACATTTGCTTAATCTCGTCAATGTACTTTTTTCTTTACTGGACTTCATGCTGATTGAATTATTTATTTTTTTAGTTTCATTTGTGGTTGTTGTTGTTTACTCCTCCATACTGTAAACTTTGATACATAAATAGAAGTTTATGGTTTGTACTTGAAACCATTGTTCTAAATGAAATGCACTTCCTGTTGAATGAGTGGGGTTAATAATCATTTCCAGGTTAAGGGGCGGATTTACAGGGTTCCACTGACCGCAGGTTCCACTCAACTTGTTATCCTGGATAAAAAATAACTTCAGTTTAAGAAACATTAACGATGTCAGATGAACGTTCGACCTTCTGTCCCTCATCGTCTTCACCTCATGTGATGCTTGTCTCCATCATCCAATCACGCGCTGTAAAAACAGACTTCATTATTCTCTCAGTTGTTGATCAATGACTGAAATGTCGCTTTATCTTTAAGGGATGAGGAACAAACACTATGTGGACAATGTCTTGTCTGTCCTGTTTGTCTCATTCATCTGGTTTGCCTTGTCCATCTTGTACACCAGTTAGTCTTGTCTGTCTTTTGTCTTATTTGTCTTGTCTGTAGGTTGGTCGCTTTCGACAAGCTGCCGTGATGGGCTGAGCCAGCTTAAACCACGCCTCCTCATGTTGATGTGCTTGTTCACAACACACTGAGCGTCCCGCTCGTAATATCCTGATATACCAGAGGAGCTGAGTTGTAAAGGTTTATTCCACTTAAATACTACTGCGCAATTCTATGATGCTATGGTTTTGTGACAGCGCCACCTAGTGAATTGGAAGACTGGCTGCAGTTTCAGGGAACTCAACTGTGGGGTCTGGTGCCGGCTCCGCTCCCCGGACAGGAAATAACAAAGGACTGATTTACAGCGCAGTCAACCCTCTTGTGACAGCAGTAAGTGACTGATTTGCATTATCCCAAAAAAGTTTGAATGCATGGGTCTTGCATGATTTCGCTGTCAAAATATCTACCGGTATGTGTACGACTAAATCACACAAATTCCTACTAATGCTACATGTGTGGGGAGCCTATTTGTTGTTTTAAAGGTAGTTAACGTGACACCAATGATAGCTAGCTCCGCAAATTCTATGCTTGGCATAACTTTTTTTTGTCGATAATGAACGTAAAATGTTTGTTCTGTGTGTTTGGCTTTGAAAAGAGTTTATTCATAGGAAGCCAGTGCAAAACTCTGAGAACTGAACAGACGTGTTTCTGTCTTAGTTTGAGGAACCGGGCGGCAGCGTTTTGAATAAGCTGCAGTTTAAAAGAAAACAAAGAAAAACAAAGGCATGAATAAATAAATCAAAGTCCTTAAAGTTTAGCTAAATTTTAAAGGTGGTTATTATTTGAACTAAAATTTGCATTTATTTGCAGAGCTGGATCTGCCCGATGCATTGATGTGGAAGAGGAACTTGTCTCCTCCATCAGTCTGGTTCGTTGTGACCACCTAATTTGTTTTGTCCATCTTGCCCATCTTGTTTGTCTCACCCGTCTCATTTGTCTGGTTTTTCTCATTTGTCTCTGTTGAGATGTCCTGCGTTAGTTTGACTGAATCTCAGATTCAAAATGCAAAAGTTCTGACTAAACATTAGCAGATGAATGAACCTGTTTTATTTAAGAGTAACATGTCTGCGACTGTCGTGGACACAAACGTTAGACAGAACAAGGCTCAGAGGAAAAGAGCTGAAACCTGGACACTGCGCCCCCTAGAGGACAGAGAGGACACATCTTCTGACTTAAGAACAAAAGAAGTCAATGAAGTTCAGTGACTTGAAGTGTCTCTCTCCTCAACACCCATTTGAGGAATGTTTGACACCTGTAGATTTGGACACATGGAGATTTGGACATGTGTAGATTGGACACGTGTCATATGTTCGTTAAAGGATCAAATCATCTGAACAATTCAACCTGTAGAGTCCACACAAATATTCATTAACAAGGACAACAGCTGTCTGTGTGTCTGTGTGTGTAGAGATGTTGTAACTCTGGTGACATGTTAACTTCTGGTTAAAATAAGTTAACCTCAGTTAAACTAAACAGATCATAAATAGAGTTCTGGATCTGTATCATCCCCTGGTGGCTGACTGCAGTATGGGTCATAAACCCTGCCTACTCAATGTTATGTAAAGTTAGTAGTTAGTAGTAAAAATAGGCTGGGACATCATGATCGTGGATTGGAACCGAGTATCGAGGTCCCGCCTATACAAGCTCTTGAAGAATCAGTCTCAGTTGTGAAACGGGGTTTGAGAGGTGCCAGTTCACCTCCTGGGCACTTGCCCTTGAGCAAGGCAACCCCCCAATTGCTCCCCTTCATGGCTGCCCACTGCTCCGTGAGGTCACTGTGTGTATTATGTTCCGTGTGTGCTGTGTTCACATGGATGGGTTGAATGTAGAGGTCAAATTTCCCCATGTTGCATGTAGTGCTGTGTGTGCATGATTGTGGGACAATAAAAGGAATCTTAAAAAAAAAAAGTTGGGATTGATAAAGACAAACTTGATTGGAGAATGTGCACATTCCCACGCTAACTCTGACTCGCGTGTATGACAATCTTGGAGACGGGATAATGAGGATGCAGACGTGAGGTGGTGAACTGAAGCAGATTATTGATCCACTTTATCATTGAAATTAAAACCAACAAGTTGTTTGTACTTGTGCCAGAAAACAGTTCCATAAGAACCTTCAATTGAAAAAGATATAAAACAACCTCCAGCCATTTACAATCAGATAATAATGAACAGCAGAGTCATTAATAGTTTAAATAACATCTTCCAACACTGTGCGTGTATCATTAACAACGAGTGTTTGTCAACTCTCTGCAGTGAATGTGACTGGAGATCACTCACAAAAATAGTGTCCACTACTGTTCACTTTCAAACTTCTATTTTCAAATAAAATTCCAGAGTGGAAGTTAGGACCCACAGTGTGAAGTCATCAGTCCAATGGCTCTGAATGTATAAATACTGTGGTCACACTTGTGCATGACGCTGCGTGATGGATGCACGCGTATGAAAGGATGAGGAGGAAACGAGGGGTTCAGCGATTGATAGAACAGCTGATATAGATTCTATAGATCTGGGATCTTTGTGCTGAACTGAGTCCAGTATTAGATCAGCCGACCGAACCGAACCATCCCAGTACAAACACAAGCACATAATAGTAATTCTGTTAAATTATATATATTAGGGACGTCACAGCTGTCTCTGAATTGAATAACCCTAATCCTGCAGTTTAGATGATTCAAATACAGGCGATATAACAAGTTCCCTCACATTCAGTGTAGTGATTTTTTTTTGACTGTCATGACTCACCATGGAGACCCATTGGTCAGCAGAATTTAATATTCATGAGGTGCTTTGCATTGACCATTTATGATTGATCTGGATGTCCTGCAATTTTCTCATGCTGAACAAAGACAAAACCAAAGTTTTGGTGTTTGGAACAATAGGGATGCTTTAAATGAGTCCTTAGCATCCCAGGATCTACAGTGCACTCTTTTTTAAGATCTTGGACCTTTGTGCAGCACCCTGAGACAACTGTTTGTTGTGGTGCTGTGCAATATATATAAATTTGATTGATTGATTGAACTTAACCCTAACCCTGCAGGGAGTGGGGGGGTGATGAGCTTCTAACACGTGACACAAATATAAAGAAACACAAACAAATGTCTCTGGAGACAAAGTGCTGACACACACATAGAAGACACAGATGAAGACGTGAAGACAGTTTGTGGTGATGAGAGCTGACGACGGTGTCAGGTGATGTAAACATGATCACATGATCACTTCCTGTCTGTCTGCTCCACCTCTCACCTGAAGAACGAGGAGGATCTGATGCTGAACGAGTCTGAGCAGAAAACCTGCTGCTGAGTTGTTCAGCTGTGAAACACGAACTCTGTCAGGCTTAGGTATTACTCTGTATTACTGTGATACTTTGTAACTGTTGTGTACTGTAATACTCTGTGTGCTGTAGTTGGAAAGTTTTGAAATAAAGTTTGAAATGAAAAGTGAAACCAGTGTGACATCTTTATTTACCTGAACGCATTGTCATGGTTACTCAACACACACACACTCTGGTCTGATGACACAAGTGGCGACAATCAGTCAAACTAACATGAAGGTAAAAACCAGGTTTATCCTACAAACACTAATATAGGAACACACACACTTTAAAATGTTTCTACAAAATATAAAAAATAAATATGTACATGAAGAAAAAGAGGAAAACTGATCGAGTTCTTAAAAACCAAAAGAAACACTGAATCTGACGCAGCGACTGCTCACATCCTGAGCTGTGATTGGTGGATGAATCTACAGCGTGGTGAGGAAGTCTTTGACCTGCAGCAGGAAACACATTCCAGTTACTAAATGAAATAAAATATAAGTTTCAACAGAAAAATTTACAAAATTGAAATAAACCTTGTCGATGATGACTTCCTGTTTGATTCGATCGTTCTTGAAATCGTCGCTAACATCCAGAGTCAGAACAGGAAGATCGTTCAGATAATCAAAGTCCAACCTGGACACACACACACACACACACACACACACACACACAGTGGTTGACTGATCTCATTTGGATTTGCATGATCAATTACTGATCAAAATGTGACAGAAGTGTGTCATTGGTGTGGAGTTACCTGAGGCTCCTGTGGTGAAGCCACGCCTCATGTTTGAAGTGAAGCTGCTCCAGATACTCAAGAGGTAGTCCCGCCTCCTCCCCACGGCCCCGCTGGAGCAACCGCTGCATACAGCGCTGAAATATACAGACTAATACTGAGGACCACGAAGGTAGCGCTGACAAATACAGACTAGCAGAAGTAGGATAAGCAACAGTATTATATTAGCGGCAGTAGCATTAGCGGCAGTAGCATTAGCGGCGGTAACAGTAGTATTAGCATTTGCATTAGCAGTGGTACCTGTGGCTGTGCTCTTAGGTAGATGATGGCGTCCAGGTGGATCTCAGGTGTGAACTGCTTCAGTAACCAGGTGTGCCAGTCCTGATAAACACTCCACTCAGTGTCCGAAAGGTTCCCACACTCAAACAGGTTTGATGCAAACACGTACCTGAATGCAGAGTAATCTATTACCAAAGTAATCTATTAGAGAGAGACAAGCACAGAGTACACAGGGTAATCTATTACCTGTATGCACAGTGATCATTACCTGTAGTCATCAGTTACCTGTCAGAGTAAACAGAGCGCTCGTAGAACTGAACAGGTTTTTCACTTTGTTGAAGTTTGATCGACGGCGACTGAAGCTGAGAACGAACTCTGCTGAGACACGCATAACTCTGAGAGACAGACAGGTAGAGAGAGAGAGACAGAAATATTATCACATCTATAACAATTACTATAAATATTCTCATTATTAATATGGTTATTATTATTGTGATTCATATTGTTGTTGTGGCTGAGGGGGCAGGGTCAGGAGCTCACCTGGAAGGTGTAGGACCAGCGGCTTGGTTTATCGTACAACATCTGCAGAAGGTTTCCTCCGCTCTTTTGAGATGAGCTCAGTTCCTGAAGACACAGGAAGTCGTCAGCACTTTATTGTGAAAGGACAGGACGTGTGATGACATCATTGCTGCGCTCACCTGGTAAACATCGTCGCTCTCGTTCTGCACATTGCACCATTTTCCAATCGGTTCAGGAATCACCTCCCAGTCCTCTGACGCCCCCTGGAGGAGGCGCACAAATGTCGACTTTCCTGCAGCTGAGAACCACATAAACAGACGGGACAGACAGACACAGAGAGAGGGAGGGAGATAGAGACAGACAGAGAGAGAGGGAGACAGGGAAATAGACAGAGAGAGAGAGAGACAGATAGATGGACAGAGAGAGAGACAAACAGATATAGAGAGAGAGAGAGACAGACAGAAAGGCAGACACAGAGAGAGAGA